CAGCAGAAAGGAGAGGGTTTGAGCAGCAGGTCAGAGCAGGGAAGGAAACGGCGTGGTGAGGAGAGAAGGGCTGAAGGACGCCACTGTTTCCATTTTGGTGCAGAAGTCCCAAGGGTGTCACTGGAAGCACTTATTGACCAACTCACCCGCTCCCAACAAGCCAGCCTTGCAAACCACAGCCAGGAAGGATTTTATTTCTGTCCAGACACATCTACAGAGACCCTTTAACTCTATCATTAAACAGCAACATGCAAGGGACATCCAAGCTGGGAGCTTGGGGTGGCTCTGGCTCTGCAGGTGATAATGCTAAAAAAAGTCATCAAATATACTCATGCAATGCATTGCAAGGAAAAAAGGGGGGGAGAGGGGCAGAGGAAAGAAGAGCCTATATTTGGGCAAGTAGATAGAAACCACTTAAAAACTGTAGAAACATCAAGGTTGGAAAAGACCACTACGATCATTTAGTCCAGTGGTCAACCCAGCATCACCGTGCATCATGGAATAGGCTGCCTGGGGAAGTGGTGGACACACTGTCCCTGGTGGTGCTCAAGAAAAGGATGGATGTGGCACCGAGGGGCATAGTTTAGTGGGGATGGGTTGATGGTTGGACTAGATGATGGTCTTCCCAGCCGTAATGGGTCTATGATTCTATGCCAAATGAATCACATCCCTCATGAGGGAGATGAACGCAGTCAAGTTCTTGACTCCAGCAATGCAGCAGGTACAGGGATTGAGTTGCTTCCCTGAGTACTTAAAGGAAAAATAACAATAATTAAAAATATGAGATGTAGAAAAGGTGAAGAGCTCCACACCCAGCTCTCCCCCACCCCAAAGGCTGCCTCGATCTGTTCTTCCCCAACACCAGGCTGCCTGGGCACTTGATCCCCTCCCCTCTGCAACACGATAACGCAGCAATGCTGCCAGCTCCCAAGTTAAACATCTTATTAACAGCAGTGACGTAAAGAGGAAATCGCCAGGAACTATCACAGAGATGAGAGGGGACACATTTGCCATTGACTGGGCGTGATAGCACAGCGGGGAGACCCATGCATGAAAGGCATTTGACCCTTCCTTCCCCCCACCCATGTCATGGGAAATGAAACCTGACATTCAAACAGCGTGGAGACAAGAGAGGAAAAATTATTTTTTAAGATAAAACAACTCCCCTTCCAGGAAACCATTTGGATGCAAAGCTGTGTGCAGCTGCAGCCAGCCTCCGTCAAAGCCGTCCGTCCCTCCTGTTTGGAAATCAGGCATTTGGGGTGGGGGGGGGCATGGTGGGGAAAGGGGAGGGGAAGGAAGAAAGAAGCTCTCTTGCAGCCGACGAGCTGCAGGAGGCTGCTGGCAAAGTGGTCCAGTGATCATCTGAAATGCAGACGGTCACGTGAGGAGCTGTCTGCAGCTCCCGCGCAGCCCCAAGAAGTGCACACGCAGCACTTCCCCACCCGGCCGGCGGTCCCCGGCTTTTACTCTGCAAGGTGACCCCGTGTGCTTTGCACTGGAGACACAGGGACAACACCCAGCTCCTGCTTGGAGAGATGGATCTCCCTGCGTTACCATTTTTTTTTTTTCGCTTTAATTTTCACCCAATGCATCATTCCGCACCCAAAGGGCTCCGAGTGCATCACCCACCAGTGCCGCACTTCCACCAGCACCAAACCATCAGCAAAAGTCCCTCTGCAAAAGCTGCCCCCCGCCTCCCACCCCCGCTGACAAATCCCAGTCTTTCACTCTGCAATGATGACTTTTTGTCCATATAAATCAGCGCTCCGCTCTGGAGACGCATTGCATTGCACTCAAGTCAGGCAGATGCAGTTGGACTAAAAAAAGAGCATGAGTTGTGCTTTTTTTTTTTTTTTTTTTTTAAGGCAGATTGCCTTTCACGCTGAATATATTTATAGATTTATAGGTAGGGCTGTTGAAATTTTAAGGGCTCTTTGCCATAGGAATCCAGGCCCTTCTCATGTTCGCAAAGTGGTGTAACCACATAAAAATGGGACTGCAATGGAGCGACGGGTGCTGCTCGCCTCCATCCATTGGGGATAAAATTAGAAAAAAAAAATAAGCATTTAAGCAGTGAACTTATTGTTTCCATTCAGGATGCAGATGAGGATGTCCCAAAGGTGGGACGGCCTCATGCAGTGCACAGAAACCCGATGCTTCCAGCCCCAGAGTTGGTTGCTTTCTTCCACAACAGCACAGTATAGGAAAAAATAGGAGCAGAAATCCTATTTTTTTCACTTAGGCTATAAAAACACATCCATCCAGATGCTAACCTTGGATTTCCCTATAGTGACAGCGTGCAGCTATTTAAGACAAAACCCAAACTGTAATTAAAGTTATTGATAGGAGCCAATGTTTACTGCTGGCTATTTTGATATCAAGTGTTGCTAGACCTCAAGGTACTGATTTCCATCATCTGCAGGGGATGATTAAGCTGGAAATGGGGCTAAATGTGTGGTGTTTTTTTTTCCTCAATGTTTTTTATAGGCACTTGTACTTTCAAAGAAATGCACTTTGCAGACTGATCCTGAAGGATGCTGCTCATCAGACAGATGTGGCACTGAGGAACCTGGGTTAGTGGGCACAGTGGTGATAGATTGAGTTGGATTATATGATCTCAGTGGTCTTTTCCTCCTTAATGATTCTATGAGTGAGCACAGTGGTGATGGGCAGAGAGCTGGATATGACCTTAATGGTCCTGTCCAATCTTACTGGTTCTATGATCAGGAACTGCCTGGAAACCAGCGTGTGATTTCCAGTTATCGAGATACACATAAAAATGAAACTAAAAGAGCAATAATGAAAGAAGGGTGCAACCCACCAGAAAACCTCCTGAGGTCCCTTCCAACCCCAGCCACTCTGTGGTCCTACAGAAGGTTTCAGCTTTTGCAAGCAGAGCCAACAGGGCTCTGGTGACACAACTATTTTCAGCCCCGTGCAAGCACGAGTATCACCTTCCAGAGGGAGCAGATTCCAGTGCAAAGCATTCACCAAAGGGTAAAAGTCACTTCCTTCACCTGCCCAAGTGCCAAATCTGATGGCGGCTGCTGGCACCTGACATCCCCGAAATGCAGCTTTGCTGATGTTGCAACACCCTTTGCGTGCACCTGGATGGTTAACTCTGAAGCCTAGTGATAACACGAGATTAACCTCCTGGCTGTATACAGGTATCAGTGCTCAATGCTGGTGGGTGTACAGCTCCCCCAGCTTTAAATCCACCCGCAGCTTTTCATCGTGCACTGTTAGCAATGATCTGACCCCCAGCATTAGGAAAGATTATAACTGCAGAATACAAACACTGGGTAGGGAGATCTGTATCTACCATCCCCTACACCTTTGCCCAAAACACTCCTTCCCCATTGCTATCAATAAATAACAGGACTTCTTTAAGGCGCTGCTTGGTTGCTGATCCTCCTTCAGCACGAAGGATGCTGGGCTTGCACAAAGAGCCAACCTGACAGCTCCAGATGCCCCATTTATGTTTCAGCTCCCGTGAGCAGGAAGACGAAGCTGTAACCGAATTAACTAGAAACTGGCAGCAGCGCCAACGTGCCAGATTCCAGCTCATTGCTGCTATTAGCAATCCCAGTCACTTATCCACCTTATGTAGGGTGGAGAAAGACACTGCAACCCCACACATCCAATCCAATGGATGCTGTTTTATGCAAAGAGCCAAAATCAGGACTTACAAGGGAGATTATACTTGTCCCTTGCGACATCGAGTTCTGTGTGGAGCTGCCTTGCTGGTGCACAGCACCACGCACAGCCCCATTAGGATGAGTGGCTGTAGTCTGCAACCCTGCACGTGGCCTCCTTGGGGCTGCTGCACTGAGACAGCATCGTGCATGAAACTCCAGCTGCTTTCACGATCAGTGCGTGATCCTCTCTATCCCCCAGCAGTGTTACTGCACTGTACAATATCATACCCGACCCCCACGGCTACTGCAAAGCCACACATGACCCCCTTGTACTTCCTCATCGTTGCTACACCGTGCAATGCAGCACATCACCCACTTTACCCCCCGCCCCCAGGGTTACTGCACCCTGAAACGCAGTGCTGGACCCCCTTGCACCCCTCCCGTTATTACTGCACTGTGCAATGCTGTGTTATTCCTCCCTTAGGATTATTGCACCGTGCAACAGACGCACGACCCCCCCAAAACCACACCCACGGTTACAGCACCGTGCAGCGTTACGCTACCTCCCCCCACGGCCACAAACCGTGTATGACCCCCTACCGCACAACGCTCAAGACTCCCCTTTAACCTCCCGTGAAACACCACGCAGGACTCCCCTTACACCCTCCACGGTTACTCCACAACGCAACGCCGTCCCTGACCCCCATCTGCCCCCCCCTTCCCGAGGTAACCGCACCGTGCCACTCCGTGCCGGACCCCACCACGCTGCAAAGCACCACGCAAATCCCCCGGCACCGTTTCCGGACGCACCGCAGAACGCAGCGCCCACCCCCCGCCGTGACAGCGGAGCGCTGCGTCCCTGCGTGGCCGCCCCCGCTCGTCGCGATCGCCCCGCGGGCGGCCTCCCCCTGCCACGACTGCGCCGTGCGGGCGACATCGCCTCGCTCAGCGCTTCCCCTGCCACGATCGTGCCGCGTACGGCCCCGCTCCGCGTGGAGCGACGGCAACACGCGGTCCGTCCTCCCCCCCCCAACCTCCGGCATTGTTGCGCGGGCGGCCCCACGTGCCCGGCCACCACCCCCAATTCCCCTCGTTTCTCGGTGCGTACCGACCTGCTGCTCGCCCGGTTCCAGCTCCGGCCGCGCCTCCCCGCTCGGCCCCGCGCCGTGCACTCCGCTCCGCACCCGCACATGCAGCCGCCGCCGGTATCGCTTCGCCGCCGCTCCTTCTCTCGCTGGTCCTGAGCCGCGCGCGCGCGCCGCAGGCCCCGCCCCCAAAGAGCCTCGCCCCCGCTTGAGGTCACGTGGCAGCGGCGGAGCCAATGAGGAGAAAGGGGAGGAGGAGAGATAGAGGGACTTTACCAAAGGGGCGTGGCTAAGAAGTGGGCGGGGCTAAGAAGTGGGCGGGGCTATGGTGTATGGGTGCGTGGCTATGAAGTGGGCACAGTTATGCCGTATAGGGGCGGGGAGAGCTAAGGGGAAGAAGGTTCGAGGAAGGAGGCTCGGTGTCATGGGAGACCGTACACCTGGTACGATAGGCCTCTTTGGGGGGGGGGGGGTGACAGACAGTTAGTTCTCAGAAGTTGTACTCAGATACACAGAAAGCAGAACTGTCCAGCAGCTTTCCATTTCTAAGAGCACGTTGCGTTAAAGGGGTCAGCAGGGCCAACCTACAAGTTCTCCAAGCAAAACCTGAGAATGTCTCATCTGGCATTCTGAATGTTTCCAGAGGAATGAGAGGAAAGAAATGGTTCAGTATTTCTCAATGCATCACACACAAAAGAATTAGCAACAAAAGTCAGTTTTCCCAAGCTTGCTTGTTGCAATGAGTCTTACATGACTGCAGTGTATGTGGATAAGTATATAGAATGGTTCCTGTGCTAAAACTTTGGAACCTGTTGATGAATTTCAGAGGATGTTGGGTTTTGGCAAGTAGGCAGCTGGATAAAAGGGATATCCATCAGCACACCCAGCTCTTTCCTTCCCCTCGCATGGGAGAGCCATAGCATAAGCTTAACCTTGATGTGACACCAGCAAATTCACACCTTATAATACAACCTCACTGAAAACAGAAACAAAACTGTTACTTCCTTTGCTATTGACGCTTGGGTTTTATTTTCTAAGCGAGAAAATCATCTGTTATTCACATCAACTTTTTTAGCAAAATACTCAAGCGTGTCTTTTGGCAATGCTGGGATCACAGCACTCCTGCTAGTGCTGGTGATGCTGGAACTGACCAAGAAACCCACTTGTGAATGCTTTCTTTAAAAAAAAAAAAAAAAAAGAAAACTGAAACAACAACAACAACAAAATCCAGCACAAAGAAAAACAACTTTGCAGCTGCTTTACTTGGGTATTTTTGGTGAAATCCTTTCTTGCTGAAACAGCGTGACCCTTTTTCCTTCCATGGGGTTTCCCAGGCATGATGGGGGAACTGCATTTGGCTCCAAGGGAATGTGTTTGTTTTACTGTTTGTGAATATGATCTGCCTGCTTGCCTTCCTTTCAAATGCAGCAAATGCCAGTAATCTGTTTTTATTTAGTCGAGAACCTGAGAGCGCTGTTTGGCAGGCTGTTCTTTCCTTACCATTTGAAATGTCACATGGCAGATTCGAGCACTCGAGTGCAATCTCAGCTTGAGAGCGCTGGCAAAAGAAGAAGGAGCAGCAGCACGAGCCTCCCGCACATCTCAGAAATGCCCTCAAATGTCAAAGTTTGATCCTTCTTTCATGGAAGAGGCTGAAGTCTTGCTGGGAATGAGCTGCTTGGCTCTGGGTAAAAATTCATACCGGTTTTCATACAGTCGTAGAGTCATAGAATGGCCTGGGTTGAAAAGGACCACAGTGATCAACCCCCCTGCTATGTGCAGGGTCACCAGCCATCAGACAAGGCTGCCCAGAGCCATATCCAGCCTGGCCTTGAATGCCTCCAGGGATGGGGCATCCACAACTTCTTGGGCAAAGGATTGGGTTTTGCTTCTGCTCCTTAGCAGGTGAGCATTTGTCCTCTCTAAGCTGAAGGGGAAATGGAGGTATTAAAAATTGATATGAGGAACACCTTCAGGTCTCTTGGCAAGCCTGTATTCATCTTCAGCCAACTTACTTCTCCATATTTTAGAAAAACAATCTGAGAAATGTTTCTGCAATCAGGTCACTGCCTTAAGAGGATCAAATAGGCTTCACGTTAGCTGTAATTTCCTGAATTTGAATGGATTTGCAGCAGAAATATCGACAATCTCCTGTGAACGTTAGCATCCTTGAGCACAGTTTCCAGCATAATGCACTGAAAAGCAATGTGGGAGGATTGTAACCTCTGTGTGGATGCTAATCCCAGAGGACTGTATCTGCCTTAGAGTTAGTGGAAAGCCTGGCTGTGTTTTAATGTGTGTTTGTGGCAGTGCTTGTATTACAGCTTGAACACCTGCTCATATCGAGTCCGTGCAACCACCATGTTTCCCGAAAGGATGGTAACAGCACCCATGCACCTGCTTTGTTTGAGTTTCTGTAATCATTTTTTCCATGGCCCTTCAGTCATTTCCATTTCAGCTGAATGCAAAAGCTTTCTCTGAATCGGGGCACTGTAACACATAAATGATGGAAAAAATTGCTGTCTTTTGCCACTTGCAGAGAATGCTTCTCATAGCTGCTGTGTTGGAGGAAAGCAGCAGAAAAATGATAATTCCAGTTTGGAAAGGTTACAGGAGAAACAACTCCTCCAGGGTAGGATGTGAAACATGGATTCCTGATATGTCAGTCTGAATGTTTCAACACCGATTGCTCCTTCTTGTCTACTAAGTGTTTGAAGTGAACAAATTCTCCACCAAGTCCACAAGGTCCTTTTCTACTCCTTTGGTGGAACAGTTAAGACATGGTGTTCCATTGGGATTTGCACATCTGGATGAGGTTTCCAGTTAGTAGACAGACATCATATTCACCTGCATTACATACAACCTGGGTTTCTCTAGCTTGCTGTGCAGCAGACCCAGTGTCTGCTGAGTACTTCTTTCTGGGAGAGCTGAGAAAGCTGGAATATATATGTGTGTGTGTACATATGCAAAAGTTCTGATTAAAATTTAGGTGTTATTGTGCTGGTTTGTTTTCATTTAAATTAAATGGGCTTTTCCTTCAGGAGATGCTGAAAGTTGAGCATTTACCTGTTCATGAAGAGTCATTTAATAGCTGGACCAACACTTGGAATTCACTTGAAGGAACTGACTAATTGAATTGCATTCAGCACATGAGTGAAACTGAAGTTCACTCATATGTGTTAGTGCTTTTCTTTTTCCCACACTCATCAAAACCTTGTTTGCATACATCATAGATTCCGTGGGTATTAATAGCTGATGAAGGCTTCAGGACAGAAAGAGCTAGGCCCAGGCACTAAGAAGTTGCATTTGCATGTGGCAGAGATGGGAGATGCTATGCAGGGATCATTGCTCATGGCTAGATAGCCTCCTTGCTGCCATCCAATGCAGCTGAGGCTCAGTCCTGCTTGCTGATGCACATGGCATAATCCAGGGTTTTTCATTTGTTCTGAGAACTTGGTTAAATCTTTGCAGACACTGTAATGTGGAATGGTATTTTAATCACATGAGGGAAGGCAGGACGGGTCTCCCAGGGCAGGGCTTCTAGCCATGTGGTCCCTGCTCTACTGGTGGTCCCCAACATGTCTGAAGGTGGTCTGCAAATTGATTGCAATTAAAAAAACTAAGCCATACGCATGCATTCCCACACCAGCAAGCCAGCAATCAGAAAGGAGGTAGGGAAGGATTACTAGTAATAGATAAAAATCTGAGTTCTACAGCTTGGTGGAAGTCCATCTATTGATGCTACATGCAATAGTCTTCAAGTTATGTCCTTTTTAAAATTCCAGATGATGAAGCATTTTGATTTGATCAAATCCTTTGATTTAAGGAAGTTATTGAGGGACAGCTGGTTGCTCCATCTGTAACCCACTTCATCTGGCACTTGGAAAACTTGGTACATGCTGCAAGAGCCTTTCTCACTGCCCGAAGTTATCAGCCTATCAAAATAGCTTTTTCCTTTCCATTTTCCTATGAAAGGACAAGCTTGCATAATTTTCCTTGTATGATAAGCAGCAGCGCCTACTTTCTATCTCACACCCAAGCATCCAGATTTAGCCACCCCTACGGAAAGGACTATTCTGTGTAACAAGCTCTACCTGGGAGAGCAGACACATCCTAAGGGCACGATACTATCAATGTGGAAGGGGCAGGGTGTGCCCCAGGCTGACGGAGACAGCAACTGGAAAAGGGTGAGAAAAAATGGAGCTCAGAAATGTCTCTGTGCCTTGAAGGAGTTTTTTGCTTGGTCTCATGTGAAAAAAAAAAAAAAAAAAAAGCCAAAAACAAACAACAACAAAAAAAAGAGTGCTTTTTTTTGTTTGGGGTAACTGGGAAAGGTTTGCAAAATGTGCTGCTGAATGCTGACTGGGGGAAAGGAATTTGTCCATCTTCATTTTATGGTCTGATTTTTGGGTGGTCCTGTGTAGAGCCAGGAGTTGGGCTCAATGATCCTTATGGATCCCTTCCAGCTTGGGATATTCTGTGATTCTTAACATTCATGGTGAAGTGTCTGGGTTACCAGATGAATGCCAAATAACTTGACCTGGCACCATTCAAAGCCAACAGAGTCCTGGAGCTACTAGTTTCTACCTGGCATAGAAAGCTGGCCCTGGCTCTTAATTCTCCTACAGGATCTGTAGAATCTCACTTGGCGAGGCATGTGCTCATCCCTCTGTGGATGCTCTTTATACAGACAAAAGCATTTTACAGTAGTTTAGCTTAGAACACATTGGCAGTAAGTTAGGTGAAGTCCAGAACTTTGATAAGAAATAGAGCACCTGGAGCATCTGGCCTTCTAAAGGAGCCCTGTTTGTTCTCAATGATGGTTACAAAGGAAACTCATGGTTTCTGGAGTGATGGAGGCAGGGGATACATGCATCAGTTTGCAGCTGGGAGCATGGGAGCTGTATTTCTCTTGCAGAAGCACCTCTGTGGCAATCCACCACTGTTCCAGGGAAAAGATAGTGACTTTTTAAAGCTTAAACTGGAGAAATTCCTTCTTTCAGTCCTGGTGGGCCGTGCTTTGATGCTGGTGCTGGCAGCAGGGAGGCCAAGCCTCCCACTGGTTTCCTCTCCATTTTACAGAGCAGAGGTTAAATGACTTTCCCAAGGTCATGTAGGAAATCAATAGGGCAGCAAGCTGGTCATGAGGACATCCTTTCTCCAGAATTCAAGAAGCCCTGGGTAAGAGGTGCAGAGAAAGAAGGGGACTTGGCCAAGTTTGCAGGACCATCCCACATCCTCAGGCAGAAAGATTATCACATATTTCCCGCACCTCCACTGCAAAAAGTGAATGGGAAGGGGTGTGTGGGGGAAATGAGCCGGTTGCTATTAATTCAGTTGAGCTTGACTGGACATGCAGAAGCAATCTGGAGAAGGAAATAATTCTAGTTCTGTCTGGTTCAGCAGAAACTCCACCCACTGAAGCTTTCCGGCAGGAAATCAAGTTACAAACATTACATGATCTGAGCAAATTCTCATACACTGATCCTACCCTGGGGACAGGACACTTTTGCTAGCTGCTTATTGAGGCTGAAGTTTTAGATATCTTAACCCTTTCTGGAGTGTTTAGTGCTGCCCAGAAATCACAAGCGAGAAAAGAAATGGATTAATGATCTTTGGGGTCATGCTTCATCAATAAAGAGATCTTGAAAGCTATCTTTATGTGGAGGGAAGATGGGAAGGGCTGGGGAGTCTTTCTTCGACTTGCTTTTCCTACTGAAAAATTGAGCTCCGTTGACAATATGTTTCCTGGAACACCCTAAAGATGACCAAAAAACGTGTGGTTTCTGGCACCAGCCTGATGCAAGCGAAACTTCTCAATGGAGACTGTTTCAGACTCATTGTTTTGCATTAGCAGAAATGCCGGAGAAACAATAGGAGAAAAGCTGCCATGGTAAAAATTCAGACACCTACTGCTTTAGCTAAGGGTTAAGATAAATTGCAATCTGCGCGTTGAAATAATATAATGAGCCTTAAGGAAGTAAGCCCTGACACTTGCTAATAGCCCTGAGATTTAAGATGAAAAAGCAAAGAGAAGAAGGCAGCCTTTCTTTCTCACAGGAAACAGAAAGGAGCACGGCTCTTCTTTTTATCCAATTACCAGCAGAGCAGACGCACGTCTGACACCGAGGATGGATGAAAGGTGGAAGCTGCCTGCAGTGATAGCATGACTGCTTTTCACATGATGCTTTTCTGGAGACTTGCGGCCTTTTGTGGAAGGTGGGGATGGCCCCATCCAGCTGCTCTTCACCGTTTGCCACGTCTCAGGTTTTCTTTTTGTTCATCTGAGATGCAGAACGTCTCTTGATGAAGGTCACAGCTTTGATCCCCGTGGCTCGCTCTTGTGTTTATAGCCATTATTAGTAACATCGGCTCGTGCACGCACTTCTCCCTGCCTGCCCTTGTCTGGCTGCAAGGGAGCAGGGGCAGGATAACAAAAGAAAGTATAAATAGTCTTTTTAAAAGCCTGTTAAATAGAAGTAGACTTTTTAGGGAGGAGGGAGAAAGAATGAGGCGTGTTGCCATAGTAACTGCCAGTGGTTTATTTAAGAAGGGCAAAGAAACAAACACCACGAAGAGGCGAACTCCAGAGGAGCTGGAGATTGCTGGAACAGTCTGATGGGGCAGGGACAACATGGGGCCAGGTAAGAGCAGGGAGGTTCTGTCAAAGCTGTGCTGAAAAAGTTTGTCCCACTTTACCTTTTGCAACGTGGTCTGGAAAATGGTACTTGGAAATGTGTGTTTCTAGTTAGGGGGGAGATGGAATGGAGTGTGGGGGAGTGCATGAGGACAAATATCAGACTGGTGAGATCATCAGAAGCAAAAGGTCGTGTTACCTCTGAACCCTCTGGGGTGCAAAGTCCAACTCATGCTTTTGGTCATCTCAGTATTATGGAAATAGTAGCAGTTTGAGGTAGAAAGAATATTGTATTATTATTATTATTATTATTATTATTATTATTATCATCATCATCATCATCCCTGGAAGCATTCAAGGTCAGGTTGGATGAGATCCTGGGCAACCTGATTTAGTGGCTGACAACCCTGCCCATGACAGGGGGATGGAACTGGATGGTCTTTCAGGTTCCCTCCCATGTAAGCCATTTTATGACTATTTCTGCGGACCCAGACCCAGTCAGCCTTGATGTAGGCTGATCTTCCAAGTAGGCACAACCTTGATTTTGATCCTGCTCCTCCATCTGCAGCAAAGATTTTGAAGGTTTTGCTTTTCTCACTAGCATTTCCACTCTTGCATTTCTGTCTCTAAGGTCAGGCCATTGCAGCTTCCTCACTCGTTTCTCTAAGTTCCCACTCCTTGAAGAAAGATCAAAGTAAGCTTTAATCATAGAATCATGGGCATTTTGGACTGGAAGAGTCTCTGCAGCAGAAACAAAACCAAAACCGTGCACTTTGTGAGGAACTTTCACAGCATTCCTAGAAACAAGTAGAATCAATTGGTCAAACAGAACAGGGCTCGTGTCCTCTTTGCAGGAATTATAGGTGCAGGGCTGAAAACTGCAGCTCGGAGCAACCTGACCTTGCAAGGGGACCAAGAGAAGAGATATTCTGGGGCTGGACAGAACAGGTCTGACTGGCTTTATTGGTTGAATGTGGTGCTGCATTGCTCTGACCCTTGGGAGTAAGAGGTGCTCTGGGTGTGGACAGAGCATGCCCATGTTTGAGTCAGTTGTGCAGCTCTGATGCTCCAACTCTGTTGTTCTGGCCATCCCACAGTCCAGTGCTGGTGGACCTCAGCTTACTCCATCCTTATGGATGTGCTTTCTCCACCTGTAGAGGTGAGGGCCATGTTTTTCCTTTTGCGCTCTGCCTCACAGATGTAAACTTTCAGGGAGTGGAATATCCTCCCACTTGCTGTAGCAGTGCTAATCACACTGGGAACCTGATCAAGGAGATCTTTCAAGGACCTCCACAACGTCTGCTATTAGAAACAGGACCTGAATGTCTTTTTCTGTATGCACGCTGTGCTTTGACATCAGCAACACTGAAACCATCTTCATTGGTCTTTCCTTTTTCCTGCAGGAAAGCTCTCACTGGGTCAGGAGCGACTACCAAGGGCTGAAAATGTAGAATAGAAACTACATCTGGAATTGCAGATTTGATGGTGCCCAGAAACACCACAGTGGGACTGTTCCACTCTCAACATTAAAGGCTCGAAGACCAGAAGCAACTTGAAAGTTCCCATCTTTGGTTTTTCTTTTGATGTTTTGTTTTTAATCTTGTTTCTAAATCAGTGTAAGGATTTCCCCGTGCTTGACTCATAATTTTGGAAACCTCAGAGCTGCTACTATTGAAATGGTTCAAATGGCAGTCTAGAGACCAAGCTGCCCTGTGAGGAGAGCTAAGAATTGCAGAAAATGCTGATTTAATCTCAAAACCACACCAGCAACTCTATCAGGGAAAGGGAAACAACTGCAAAAAGCCTCCGGCCTCTCTGCTGTAGAAGGCAGGCACCATGGGCTTTCCTATCCTATTTTGGCTTCATGAAACAGTTTAAAACAATACTGTCTGTGTTCGTATAACAGGGGAGGAGACTGTTGCTTCAATTTCTATCAGGAAGCTCCTTCCTCGGAGCTAAAAGTTTACAGTTCTTTTTAAATCACTGCTTGTGAGCTGAAAGGCCTATTTCTCCTTAGAGCAATCAAAAAAAAAAATTGTCCTTGGTTACCTTCTCCAGCACCTCTCACTTTGATATGTGCATTGCAGTGGTATGACAGCTCCTGAGCGTTACTGATCTCCAGGATGAAATCTGATGCATGGTTCAAAAGGCTGATGTCTTGTGAGCCCAACAGCACAGACGTGTTAGCCAGGGCATGGAAATGCCCTTTCATCCAAAAAGGGCCCTCAGTTACCTAACCTGAGCTGGCTTCTGTGCAAAATCAAACCTATGGGTGGCATATTTAATTTTAGCTATTGAACTAAATTCTCTTCTTTTTCTCCCCTAGAGCAAGAGGTGAATCAGAATCCAACAGCTCTTACTTTCTCCATTTCCCTGACCCTATGGAGAGTTATTCCACATGCCCAACCAGGCATGAGAAATTCAGGGTGAGCATTTTCAGAAGGTTTCACACAGCCTTTGATGTCTCCTAGCCTGGGAAATTGGTTCCCCTCCTGCTTCCCAGCTTGGAAGGTCTCACTCTGGTATCTGCAAGAGATAACGTTCCCTTTTGCTGTCTGCACTCTGGGCCAGGCTGACTGCCTCTCCTCTCCAGGGCAGCAAAAAGGATATTTCTCTCCAGATACTGCAAAAAGGACCTGTCAGAGAGGCTTGTAGAGCTGGGCAGCCTGAGCCACTCCTCTATTCTCACAGAGATTGAGTTATGCCAGGCTTTGACCTAAGCGTAACTGCTGACAGTCACAGGGATTTGACTAATCTCCTTAGTTCGCTGTGAAATTTGTGATTCCTTTTAGGGAATAGATTTTTTTTATAATTTTTTTTTTTCCCCTTTGGGCTAACTTGCAATGTAAAAATAAACTGGAGCCAACGGTGGGAGATTAATTTCCTCCCAAACTCAGGAAGGGCAGTCAGTCAACACAAGATCCTCCTGGCCCATCCCAGGAGGATGCTGCTCCTGGATTCATTTCTGCAGACAGCTGCTATGCAACCTTGCCATAAGACTTTTCTCCAGTGCTCTATTGTAGTCCCATGGGATCTGAGTGCAGCCAGTGGGCACAGCCCAAGCCTTCTCCTTTTCTCCTTGCTCTGCAAGCAACACTTCTCAGTGCAGGAAGCTGAAAGGATAATGCCCTAATATCTAGTCATATAGATCTATAGAATTATAGAATCTTTAAAATTGGGAAAGACCTCTAATAACATCAAGTCCAACCATCAAACATGACTACCATACCACTAAAGCATGTCCCTAGGTGCCACATTTCCAAATTTCTTGAACACCTCCAGGAATGGCGGCTGCACCACTTCCCTGGGCAGCCTGTCCCAGTCCCTCACCACTCTTTCTGAGAAGAAATTTTTCCTAATACCCAACCAGAACCTCCTCTGATCTATCTCCTAAGGAAGTGGGAACTCTCATCTCCAATCCAATCTTTGTGGACTGATGAATAATTTTACCCACTCATGTGGTTTTCCTATCACTCTCACTTCCAGCAAACTTCTATCCCCTCCAGAATTTGCACGTTACTCACAGAATCACAGAATCATAGAATCATAAGTCATAGAATATCCTGAATTGGAAGGGACCCACAAGGAACATCGAGTCCAACTCCTGACTCCACACAGGACCACCCCAAATTCAAACTCTGTATCTGAGAGCATTGCCCAAACACTACTTGAATTCTGACAACTTGGTGCCATGACCACTGCTGATTTCTTACACAATCTAAACTATGAACAGGCCCCAAACTCATTGCTGGCTATTATGCCCTTGCACCTGGAGTGCTGCAGATACACTAGTCCACCTTCCATATGGAGGTTTGCATGTGGATCTTTCTTTGTAGCCCCTTTGGTGCATGTATTTGCTGCACAATGCTAGGATTGCTCAAATAATAACGAACTAGTTGCTCACACAGATGCCAGAGCTGGGCTCGTTTTTGCTGTGCTCCAGGGGTTCCTGTTTCTAGACATTCCCATGAATTAAGCTGAGCAAGCTGGCAGGGGAGGAACAATCTCTGAATGTTGGCATGAAAAACCCAACCGCAAATCCAACTGTCATTGTCCTCCTACTTTGAAAGTTTTAAGCCCTTCAATTAGGGAGAAATGACAATGCCCAGAGTGGGATTCCTTTGCTTTTATTTCAGCATCTGACAGAGAACTGTCTGACTTCAGACAAGCTAGTCACTGTTGGCTCTCTTTATTTCCGATGCAGAGAAATAAGAAGAATCAGAGCGTGATTCAGTCTACAACAGTATCTGAGGGAGGTCAGATGAATCACAGGCTATAAAATAAGATGAAGTTGCATGGCCAGGCATACAAGTATGCATTTTAGGTGTATAAATTTAAGTAAGATGAGTTCCACTAGTGTGACTCAAGTGGTCAATCGCACAATGTGATGACACACTGACCACGCTGAGTGATGCAGTTCTGATGTCATGACTTACCCTCATCCCTGATTCTTTTTCCTTGCAGTGCAAAGGTGAAGCACTGTCCTGTTGATTCATTTCTAATCCATTACTGGCAGGACTGTGCAAAATATGATCAAGGTGGCCACCGAGCATGTACTTGTCTTCTGGAGGAGCAGCTGTGGCCTTACCTTGTGCTTCCATCTTGCTCTTTCATGTCCTTCAAGACAAGGCATCTCTGAATTAACAAAAGTACTGAGGGGTAAAGTATCAGTAATGTAAGGAAACCCTTGAATTGTGGAAAAATTAGGCTGAAAAGTAGACATGGAAACATCATATAATCCACCCCAGCACAGGAGAGTGTGACCAGGTTTCTAATGCCAATCCATGAAAGAGAGAGATGATTTTGCTAGAAAGGCATAGAGACTTTCCTGTGTGTTTCCTCATGTTTTGAATCTGTGTCCAGTGGCATATGTGGTTTATTTTGCAATGAGCAGCACTGCCTCCCTGTGAGCTGGAAGGCTGGGGATTTAATTCTCACAGTGCACTGCTAAATTTTTTTCTGAAGTTTTCCCTAGAATTCCCTGGTTAGGTTATCCCTAGAAATCACCAGCTGAGAAGTAGCATTAATAAGCAGCTGGGTCCTTCTCCTCTGAACTTCAAGGACATGGCTTTGACACCACACTGCTCTGGGACCCGCCTTCCCCAGTGGGAATCTGTTTCTCATTCCCTAAGATATGTGACAATCCTCTGAATTACAGATATGAAATAGATGTGCCAGACTGCGATGGGGAAAAATGCCTTCGGCAGGGCAGATTGGAGGGAACTGGCAAAGATCAGAGTCACAGGATGGCTCATGGCTCTGTCTCTACCTCTCTTGCTTCTTCTAACAGGCAGACAAAGAGGACCATTGGACTTTGTGTGAGTTAAGAACACAGAGAAACCATGCAGATGCCTCTGGGGATGCAGCTCCAGCTTTGCAGCTAATATCAGTGTACAAAGCAGGCAAACGGTGCTTGCTGTAGAGGAAGGACTACAGAACCTGGTTAGGTGATAAGCAGAATTGTCCAGGAGGAGAATACAGCTTTGCAAACAGTACTAATCCTGAATACCAGGCTCAAAATCAGATGCGACAAACTGAACAAAAAGCATTTGATAGGATCACAGAATCACAGAATCACAGAATTGAAAGTGTTGGAAGGAATGTCCAGAGCTCGTTGAGTCCACCCGCGGTGCCAGAGTAGGCTCCCTACATCAGGTTGCACAGGTAGGTGTCCAGGTGGGTCTTGAATATCTTCAGAGAAGGAGACTTCACAAACTCTCTGGGCAGCCCGTTCCAGTGCTCTATCATCCTCACCATGAAGTTCTTTTGCATATTGGTGCAGAACTTCCATTCTCCATTTTATGGCCATCTCCCCTTGTCCTGTCCCCACAGACCACTGAAAAGAGGATCACCATTTCCCTTTGTCTCCCAAATGAGTGGAGATCCCTTGGTCCTGATCAGCACGTAAGGGCAGCCAGGTTTTCAGATGAAATTAAAGGTGACATCTTGAATCATGGAATCATTGAATCACAGAATATTTAAGATGGGACCTTTAAGATCACCTAGTTCCAACTCCCTGCTATAGGCAGGGACACCTCTGTCTAGACCAGGTTGCTCAAAGTCCCATCCAGCCTGCCCTTCAGTGCTTCTAGGGAGGGGGCATCCACAGCCCCATTGGGCATCCTGTTTCAGTGTCTCACCACCTTCACAGTAAAGAATTTCTCCCTAATATCTAATCTAAATCCACCCTCTTACACTTTAAAGCCATCTCCATTTGTCCTGTTCCTACTTGCCCTTTTAAAAACTCCCTCTCGAGCTTTTTCCTGTAGGTCCCCTTCAGATAATGGAAAGTCGCTATGAGGTCAGCCCCCAGCCTTTCCTCCAGGCTGAAGAGCCCATCTCTCTCAGTCCGCCTACACAGGTTAGCTGCTCCAGCCCTCTGATCATCTTCGTGGCCCTCCTCTGGACCTGTCCCAACAGCTCCGTGTCCTTCCTGTGTTGGGGGTCCCAGAACTGGACACAGTACTCCAGGTGGGGTATCATGAGAGCAGAGCAGTGGGGCAGAATCACCTCCTTCAACCTGCTGGTCACATTTTCTTCATGCAACCCAGGATACAGT